GAAAAATATGTAATATATATAAGACAAAATGTATATATATATATATATATATATATATTTTTTTTTTTAAACGATGCACGATTTTGCAATACCACAAACCCCTATGACACATGATATTTTATAGACAGTCTTAACCACAGGGATGTTAGTCTTTCATAATATTGCCATTTCAATTCATCTCGTAATAAAACATGCCCTTCCCAAATGCTTTACATAACCCTGATTTGTATGGGATGATATTAGACTCAAAATGATTAATAGACGCACGCACAATTATTCATGTACTGCATACATTTTATGCATGTATCTTACTAACCACAAACAAATGCCTTTCAATTTGAGTCTGTGGAATTCAGGATTAAATGATTGTGCAGGGATTTGTACAAATACAGACATGTTTTCGAATAAAAATGTTCTGTTCTGCATTAATATATCATAAATTGCTCGTGCAAAAAGGATTCTGTGCATATGTGGATCAGGTGACACGCGTGCATTAATTGACGTCTAGTTCGCGTCGATCTTGTTCGGTTCATTTGGATTTTGAGACTTCATTTTCGCAGTTTACAGCATTTCACGACGCTCACACACACAACTACCAACGAACAAGGCCCAGTGCAATTCATTAACGTGTACTCGATTTGAAAAATTTGCAAATGTGCGTCACTACACTGAAACAAATGCTTTTCAACCGGTGTCTGCAGAGTTAAGAATTACATTCATGTGCAGCATTTTCTTCAAGTAGAGACATATTTGTGAATACAAATGTTATAGTTTGTATTAAAGTATCATCATTTGTGCATGTAGCGATTAAAATGTGCATTTGTGGATCAGGCGACGCGCGTGCATTAATTCACGTCTTTTCTGAGTCGATTCTATTTGATTCATTTGAATTTTGAGACTTTCGTTCCGCCCTTTTAGCCTTGCCCAATCCACACACACACAGCTCGCGATCCACGAGCAGCTGAGCCTAAGAAAATCAACCACCACTAGATGGCACTAGCCCCAGTCACATGTGCGCATTCCATCAGTACGGTTCTGTGAATGTTACATTGTGTTTTCTTTGTTGCCATATATTTATATGAATAATTTATATTATTCATCGATTAATCGTTTGACAGCACTAATATACATATACGTGTTTTTACAAAATAAAAATAAAATAATCTTTTGTAAAATTTTTAATGTCTTTAGTGTCACTTTTGACCAATTTAATGTGTCCTTGCTGAATAAAACTATTAATTTCTTTAAAATTAAATAAATTCTATTTAAAAAAAGCTATTTTTAAAATCAAGGTTAACGTTTAATATAAATTAAACGCGCGCACACACACACACACACACACGTTTAACTTCATATTAAACATTAAACTTTATTTTTAAAATTGTTTTGGAATGTGGAAAAAGTTTTGATTTGTGAAAATTACAGAGTTTTCATAGCACAATGAACTCTATATCTCAAAATATCAAGGACAATTTGATTCCTCATGACATGACTCAAACACAGAAATGAGGCCATTTTTCACATCATATATAATTTTAATCTGTCTCATCCGTTAGTGTTCTCAGACTCTTCCTTTTGTTACACGAGTAAGTTTTTGCAGTTTATTCACTCGCTGGTTGATTTGTTCCTCCAGACACTTGGTTTTAAAATGACAATACTCATCACCAGCGCTCTGTGCATCAGAAGTAACCAAGCACGTTAGAGACAGTGAGATGCAGAAAGAGAGAGAGAGCAATGGAAGGAAGAGATACAAAGAAAAAAAAAAAAAAAAAGAGGTGGAACATAATGAGGAAGATATGTCAGCCAGAAGTTAGGAGTTAATTTGTCAATGGGGATTTTTCTAGTATTTGCCATGTTGATGCAAAGCTTTCCCATCACTCATTTCAATACCGAAAATTGTGTGACAGATGACAACAAAGACCTTCTTAATGAAATCTTACCATGCCAGAGACAACGATGAATATATAACCACATCATTCTCCCATGCACTTAAAGTGCTTAACTATGCTGCCTGCATCTTGAGCAGCTTTATCCTCTCAGCGTGAGAATGGTGGGTGGTACATACCAGCAGATGAGTCCGGCAGCAACAGCAGCCCAAGTGACACAGCAAGAGTTGGATTTCTTACTTTCCTCTTCCTCCTCATCCTTCCGACAGCAGCACAGGCAGCTCAGGTAGATGGCCAGACACAGCAGGTTCACACCGAGCCCAGCTGCTGCTACACAGCCCAGGAAGATGAGTGACTGGAACGCACAAATACATGAGATATGAGTTTCTTCGTTAAAAAAAAAAAAATTAAAAATGAGGGAAATTTCTCATTCTTTGGAAATGAAAGAGTTTTGTTTTTATCAGTCAACTCAGCCCAATTATGGAAACTAAATTCTACAAGTTGTTCAGATAGCATCACTGTAATGATATCTGCACTAGGAGTTCTTTAACAAATGACCCATCATATTTACATAAAAATGCATATTAAATGTATTTACATTTTCAAATCCTCAAGTCAATATGAAATGCAAATGAACTCCTGATGCATATTGTTTGAAGGGCTGCTAAATGATTAATTGCGATTAATTGCAAAAGTTTGTGTTTACATACTGCGTGTGTGTAATGTGTATATTTATTATGTATATATAAATACACACACATACATGCATAAGGAACATTTTATATATAAAATATTCATATTATATATATTATATATAATATAAATTATATACAAGTATTAATACATGCATACAAATATGTTTTAAAATATATACATATATGTGTGTAAATTTACACAGTACACACACATATAGGCCTAGTATATAAACAAACTTTTATTTTGAATGAGATTAATCGTTTTGCAGCCCTAATTGTTTGTCTTACCGTGTGTGATTTTAATTATTAAAAATGTAAATAACAAAACTAAATAGAAATTTTAAAACAAGCCCCAAATCAATGAATAAGTAACACAAATAAAATAAATCTCTTCATATTAACAAAATAAGTCTTTGACTCTGCTCTTTCCATTTAAAATTAGAGGCTACCACTGCATTTCAATCATGATCCAAACAAAGATGCTGCATACATGCAACATGAGCTGTTTTTAATCTAAATTAGATTGTATAATTTCGAAATTTGAAGCAAAAACAAAATTGTTTGACTTCAGTTTTGTGAAACTATACATAAAAAATATCTGCATGAAACAAAAACAGAAGATGAGCTGAATGAGACGCAGATTCACTCTCTTCCAGCAGGCAGCGCTTAAAGCGTTTCCTGGTTTCCGCTGTAAGCAAAGCAGCGCTGCACTTATGAACTTTAAAATGCATTATACAGAGGCAAGATGAAAAAATACCATTTAAACTTTTTAAAGAGAGTAAGCTCCCCTCGGACATGCATTCATATAAACTCCTACACCTAGTTGAATTGCGATTTGATTAGCATCTCAACTGATTTGAATCGTCACATATTTGAATCGATTTTCAACCGGCTCGCGGTTAAACGTTACATATTAAAAACACATACTGTACTATTAAAAAATATATATATTTTTTTTCATGATCCAATCAACTCCTAATAGATCAAAATCACGACACGTCCAACAATGATTTTCCTGTTTCACTGTGAAATACATCACATTATGCAAGTAAAATGGGTTATGAATGCTTTTGTTTGTGAAACTATAAATAAAAATATCTGCATGAAACCGAAACAGCAGACGAGCTGAATGAGACGCAGATTCACTCTCTGCCAGCAGGTGGCGCTTAAAGCGTTTCCTGGTTTCCGCTGTAAGCAAAGCAGCGCTGCACTTATGAACTTTAAAATGCATTATACAGAGGCAAGATGAAAAAATACCATTTAAACTTTTTAAAGAGAGTAAGCTCCCCTCGGACATGCATTCATATAAACTCCTACACCTAGTTGAATTGCGATTTGATTAGCATCTCAACTGATTTGAATCGTCACATATTTGAATCGATTTTCAACCGGCTCGCGGTTAAACGTTACATATTAAAAACACATACTGTACTATTAAAAAATATATATATTTTTTTTCATGATCCAATCAACTCCTAATAGATCAAAATCACGACACGTCCAACAATGATTTTCCTGTTTCACTGTGAAATACATCACATTATGCAAGTAAAATGGGTTATGAATGCTTTTGATTTTAAAAGGATGTGCAACATGTTGTACTGATGACAGCATTTTTATTTTTTGAAAAAAAAAAACAATAAAAACAAAAATGGGATATGTTTTTTGAGTAAAGTATTTCATGATCCAATCAACTCAAAACAGATAAAATAAATCCCTGTCCAACATTTTTTTCCTCTATAATTTTCCTGTTTCAATATGAAAAATGTTAAATTATGCAAGTAAATTAATTATGATGCTGCTGATTTTAAAAATGATAAAGTCAACAGCTGTGACGGTGGCAGATTTTTACCACATGTAATGGACCAACTACCACCGGTGGCGCGGTGTTTATATATATATAGTCATGGCCAAAAATATCGGCACCCTTGGTAAATATGATCAAAGAAGGCTGTGAAAATCAATCTGCATTGTTAATCCTTTTTATCTTTTATTAAAGAAATTCACAAAAATCTAAACTTTCATTGGATAATACGAATTTAAAATGGGGGGGAAATATCATTATGAAATAAATGTTTTTCTCTAATACACATTGGCCACATTTAACGGCACCCTTTTAGTCAATACTTTTTGAAACCTCCATTTGCCAGTTTAACAGCTCTACATTTTCTCCTGTAATGCCTGTTCAGAGTCAGAGACCATTCCTTCATCCAGAATCTCTCCAGACCCTTCAGATTCCCAGCTCCATGTTGGTGCTTCTTCTCTTCAGTTCACCCCACTCATTTTCTACAGGGTTCTGGTCAGAGGACTAGAATGGCCATGGCAGAAGCTTGGTTTTGTGCTCAGTGACCCATCGTTGTGTTGTTTTTGAGGTTTGGTTTTGGATTATTGTACGGTTGGAAGATCCAAACATCGTCCATTATAGGGTTTCTAACAGAGTCAGTAATTATTGATTTTTTCATCTGTTGGTATTTGATAGAATCCATGATGCCATGTGTCTAAACAAGATGTCCAGGACCTCCAGCAGAAATATAGGCCCAAAACATTAAAAATACAGCAGTATATTTCATTGTACACATGGGGTACTTTTTATCCCTTTGTTCACCAAAACCATCTTGAATGTTTGCTGCTAAAAAGCTAATTCTTTAGTTTCATTTGACCATAGAAGCCAGTCCCATTTGAAGTTCCAGTTGTGTCTGATAACTGAATATGCTGGAGTTTGTTTTTGGATGAGCTAGGATAATTTTTCTTGAAACCCTCCCAAACAACAAGTGGTGATGTAGGAGCTGTTTGACAATTTTTTTTAAGGTTTTCTGACCCCGAGACTCAACTATTTTCTGCAATTCTCCAGCTGTGGTCCTTGGAGTCTTTAGCCACTCAAACTCTCCTTCTCAGCGTGCATTAGGACGATATAGACACACGTCCTCTTCCAGGCAGTTTCGTAACATTTTCTGTTGAGAGGAAATTCTTAATTATTGCCCTGATGGTGGAAATGGGAATTTTCACTGCTCTAGCTCTTTTCTTAAAGCCACTTCACTAATTTGTGAAGCTCAATTATCTTTTGCTGCACATCAGAAATATATTCTTTGGTTTTTCTCATTGTGATGGATGATTAAGGGAATTTGGGCTTTGTTTTCCCTCCTATTTATATTTCTGTGAAACAGGAAGCCATGGCTGGATAATTTCATGTTCATAATCACTCTGGAGTGCTCAAAATTGTGAATATGAATGGGAATATACTTCAGAGATATTTTACTCATAAGAATTTCTAGGGGTGCCAATAATCGTGTCCAATATGTATTTGAGAAAAACATTTATTTCATAATATTTCCCGCCATTTAAAATTCTTATCATCCAATGAAAAGTTAGACTTTTGTGATTTTTAAAATAAAAGAATATATATATATATATATATTTATTTATTACGGGTGTTAAAATTAGCACATTAACGCAGGCGATTATTTTTTCAGTTTAACGCGTAAAAAATATTGAACGCAATTAACGCAGGGGCGGGGCAAGGTTTGACCACCCCACTCACAACTGCTGCTTCCTTCACTTTTTCTCTTGACAAGAAGTGCATTTATTCAGTCGCAGAATGACTGAGAACGGGAGATGTTTCAGACACACGATCCTCTTCACTTCGGTGCCAGGCACGAGTCAAGAGAGCGTGGAAATGGTACTGTGCTCGAAGCGTGTGCTCTTCAATTGCACGCACAAAGGCGCCGGCGCGCTGTAGCCTGTATCCTTTCATATCAAAGCACGAAATAAACTATGTGCATGCAATGCCGTGGTCAGTAAAGTCATGAAGTTACCAAAAAGGCGATTAAAGCTGCCTTAAAACTGTGCATGCATGTAATATATTTTATATGAGTCACATTTAAGAACATGTCTCTGAAATGGTTTTCAAAACTGTCCTGGAGCAGCCCAACACTGTCTCACTCATCTAACACACCCAATTTAACTCGTCGGCTCGTGTTTATTTTAGCACTTCAGTCAGTGAATACGCAGCCTGCAAAACACTAAAATAAATATCAAAAAAATAATACAGTTAAACAAGAAAGTAGCCTAAATAAGAAAGTTAAATAAACCCTGTCTACAGGACGTGAGCTGCGCGGCGTGTCAAAATACTATAAAACTCATTATAATCAGTGATGCTACACTGGATGCGGCATGACACGACATGACAAATCCCCGACAGTAAAATGCCTCATTCTATTTATGAGGCACTGACACAGAGTTCAAATGTCCCGTGTAGACACTAGACAGACTCAACCTGTTGTGACGCGGCGGTGTCGCGAGTCCGGTGTAGACACGGTTCACTGTTTCTCTACTGTTATTACGGTTATTACACTTGTATACAAAACTTTGTATTATGCTTGTTATAGAGTGCATGACGTCACGTGCACTACCGCCGGTGGTAAGCGACCACCGCAGTGACGTGGTTGTCACGGCGACGGTCACAGCCCTAAACAGCATTAAAAAAATCTCAAAATAATAATTGTCATGAGTACAAAAATACAACTAAATATCAGTAGAATAGCATAAACAGCCAGCTTAATAATAAAAGGTTCAGAGACATAAGTCATAGAGAATGAAATAGGACAAGACGGTACAAGAAGTCCTGACTAATCTTATAAGTGTACTTATTTGGGAAAAAAAC